ATTTAGACAATATACAATTTTATTAGATTTTAAAAATTGAACTAAAGGTAACCAAAATTTAATGAGAAGATGTTATGGGTCAGTCATTGTCCTGGGATCTATGTATACACAAGTGAATAAGACTCATTCTGTGCCCTCAAGGAACTCATGGAACTATGGGGCATAAATGGCAAATTGGTGCCTGCAGGTCCATTCCTGCCTGTAGATTCCTTCTGGTTTTGATTGACACAGTGCTTTAGCAAATTTGAGACTAAACTTGAAATTGAGATTTCACATAAAAATCGGACTTTCCAGTTTCTACAGAAAAATCATAAGATCTGCCATCACTAGTCCCACATTCCTGGCACACTCCCCCAACAGCCTCCTCATTTTGACAGGGTATGAGTTTTCCAGTTGCCACAGTCCCCACCAGTCCCTCCTTCTTCCTGACACAGAGGTTGAGTCTTAGTGGCCATTTATCAATGAGTTTCAAAAAACACTAGAGAAATATTTTTAAACCTATGCCTATATCAAAAGTGGAAAATGAAAGGTCAAAAGGACCATGTTTTAAGAAAAATGGAAGGGAGCATATTCCTTTAAAGAAGTAAAAATAATCCAAGGTATTTGATGTGCAACTAGTAGGCCTTTGTCATTCATTTAAGTCACCTGCTTTACCTCCTTATGCATTTGGATTTGGGGCCCCTGGTTTAGGGGATATCAGTATAAAGTACAAGATGGGAGAAAGAGAAGAAATTATATGAGGTTATGAGAAGGAGGGAGAGTGATAATTAGTGGGAAATCCAGAAAGGCTTCAATTAGATGGTGGCATTTTGGGTAGGGTAGTAGAGATCACTCAGAGAGAAGCATCATTTTGAAAAAAGTCCTGAAGGCAGGACAGCATTTAGTGAATATTAACGAAATAAATGGTAGTCAAAGTAAGCAGCCATGGAGTGGGGAGGGGTAAATGGGTGATAATACTGAAATTGTAAGATCTGATACATAAAATATAATGTTTTGGGGGGCTTTAGGGAGACTAATGTTGAGTATCTCTTATCCTTCTGATAGCACTATCCTATAACCATCATAGATCATTTTTATTATATTTTTCAGGCCACCCTTGAATAAGGCTGAAATACCACTCCATTTTTGGGTGGTGCCAGCATACAAGGAAGAATCATCTCAAAATCAGGCCCAAATTGTGTCTTTATCGGCCAACTGATCATCAAGAATTCACCCAAGCACAGTAGGTGTGGGTCAAGGAAGAGATGACAAAGCAGAAGGACTAGGTGCCATGGAAATCAGAGCCAACTACTCATGTAGCTCATCTGTTTTCAAGGCTTTCTTGAACATGTTCTTGTTTATACTACTTCCACTTGATTATGGAGTGCTTCTGCCCATGCCCAAGTTTGTGACTCTGTGAATTTCACAATTTCCAGTACATGGTGGGCAGCTCAGGTTATATGGTTGGTTGATGGACCATGTTTAGTTATTCAGTTTCTATTGGGCCCAGTTTTACTCCAAGAGTTATTTCTCAAAAGGAGAATTATCTGTGGAAGAGAACATGGTTTCACTTTACAACCCCAGGGTTGCATTGCTATTCTCTTATCTGGATTTGTTGGAGGCTTAATATAGCACTTCTACTTGCAACAAGTGTTCTTTATGGTTTGATATAAAGAAGAAAGCATTTGCCAGATCAATAGTGGCATACCTGATGCCAGAGGAAGAATTAATTTGCTCCAGAAAAAAATAGCACGTTTGAGGCAGTAATTGTAACTGGCGTCACAACCTGATTAAGTTTATGGTAATCTACTGTTTTTCTCCAAAATTCATCTTTCTTCTGCACAAGACAAATAAAGGAGGTTTATATGAATGTGATAGGAATTGCTACCCCTGAATCTTTCAAGCTTTTAGTGATGATATTAATCTCTGAAAGTCTCCCAGGATTGTAGAATTATTACTAATTTAATATTTTGATAGAAAGGGACAGTTCCAGGGGCTTCCTTTTGGCCCTTCCTATCATAATAAACTCTCACTTCAAGGGTCAGGAGGTGAAGTCTGATCAGTTGCCAAATATGTTTTTGGAAAGGGGAAAAAAAACCCCACAAAGCTAGGTTTACAGACCCCGTGGGCCCTGTGAGAGATGGATTCAAGCCAAAACTCCATTTATTATTTGACATCCCTAAGTCCTCACTCTAACTGGTGAATCCTAAAATTTGGGGGTTAATTTCAGAGCCAGTGTCCAAAAATCTGCAACTGTCTGGCTATTTTCCTTTCCCCAGGGTATATGATCATCCTGATGAATTGATACATTTCCTTTTGGGAAAAATTAGAAGGAAATTTTATAGTATTTTCTTGTTGTAGTCTCATTGGGTCCTTCCTCAAAAGGTCTTAGTCTCCCCTTCTTGTAAGGGACCCTGTTAACTAGCTTAGGCCTGAGAACTGATGAGTTGATGACTTTCTACTGTGGCTATTTAGTTCAGATATCTGTCCTATAGATTTAATTTTTTTAATTTTACAAATGAACCAAGACTTTATTAGGTTGACAATCCATTTAAGTTCCAGAGACACTGTGATCAGAAAGTTATTGCCAAAGATCTCTGTAGATAAAATCACTTAGATTAGGACTCTGGCCTGTTGTCCAGTACAATAATCTTGTCTGCCTGGTGGCTAAGTGCTGTCAGTTGGCCTCTGCAACTCCTGGTAGCCCTTCTGAATAGTGTTATATTATACTTCATTCCTAATCTGAAAAGTGACAAATTGTCAAGGATGCTGGTGCTCCCCTCACTAATATATTCCTCAATGCCTTCATAAAGGGCGTGTCCTCTGGGCTCTCCTTAGGGCCATGGTAAGGGGTGGATGAGCCAGTCACATATGACTGATCCATGCCAACAATTTTGTCTTTCTAATCCTTTGCATTTCTTCTTACTGCATCAATTTCACTTAATGAAGGCCACCGTTGGGTCCTGGTTTTAGTTAACTAATCAAGCAAACTCTTTATAGGGCTGTTCCCAGCCACTCAAACTAATCACTGAATCTAGAACCTATGATAGCTGTACCCATATTAACAAATTATGTCTCTTCTCTTGTCTATAACCATTAGATTCCATTCCCACTAATGTTTTCCAGGTTTCTGATATCCTCCAAGGGTCTGTTGAGCTCTGACTCTAGTTACAAATCCGGAGGCAAATTAAGGGGTGGAGGTGGACCATGAAGAGAATTTGCATCCTTGTGAAAAGTAATTGTATTGGGATCTTTAAGTTAAGGAAAGTTAATATTCTCAAACAGGGAAGAGAGGCAGCTCAGTGGGATTTAGGAGTTCAGGATTCTTAGAGTCACTGGAATCCACTCAAATGTCCTCATTCCAATTTTTGCTCTTTCCTAATCAATGCCCTCTTTTACATAAGAGACCTGGCAAGTTTGTGAATTCCATTTGGGTTATAATTATGCAAACTACAGGATAAAAAAATTTATACATTATCTATATGGCTATAAGAGATATTTTTAGGACAATCTTAGAAGCTCTCTGGTTATCTGACTGTTCTTTGAGCTAAGACTTTGAAATCTTAACCTTTTATTTAGAAGTAGCCAACCCATACCATAGTCTTTACAATCCTTTTTTCCTCTTAAAATTCTATTGTAATAATTAGTAGTCTCTCAAAAGCTTTTCTACAGTAAGCACTTCATTCCAGAAAACTATACATAATTATTTTGCTACTGCTTTCTATGGACTACTAGTATCCCATTTTTCATTGTCATTGAAGTCTTAACTGCTTTCCAATCTAAGGAAGTCAGATAACTGATCCCAGATTCCTGTCTTTGAGTTTCTGTGTCCTGGAATCAATTCTGGAACCAAACACTGTTATCAGTCAGGATTTTGCCAGGAAAGCACTTACCTCTCTAGTTTATAGAGGAAGGGATGATTAAATACAAAGGGAATTACAAACTTATAAAGCTATTGGGAAGACTGGGGCAATTAATGTTCATGGAAACATACTGCTGGCTTTGAGGAAATTTGGAAACCCAGGAATCAGAGTCAGTAACTGGTGATTACAGCTGCTTCCAGTACCAAGGTAAGTAATTCACAAGAGCTCACCCAGAAGCATCATGTAAACTTCATGTTTGCTGTCAAACCAGCCACTGCTGGGGAAGAATAATGGCTGTCCTCTGCTCTGCCTTCCAAATTTTGTGCAAGATGCCTTTTACTGGCAGAATCTAAGCAAGGCAGTGAGGGACCTGAAGCAATGTATTTTCCAGGCTTCCAGACCCTACTATATAGGGAAGAATTTGGGAGGCTGGAATCGCACTGAGTACAACAATCAATATTTGGCACAGTATATGACTATCAACTTCTCAAAGATATTTAAAATGTGGCAACAACAAATAACATATAAACAATATTGTCTTTCCAATAGGTAGAAGATTATGGTTTTCCCATGACGTTTCTGTTTTTTCCTCACATTTCAAAACCACCTATTTTGAGGTTTTAAGATGAGACTAAGTAAGATGAGACTAAGTAGGTAAAAGACCTTAGACAGTGATTAGGGAGGGAGCTTTTAAGAAGGTCGGAGAGAAAAGCCTAAGAGTAGCTACAATATGAGAGCTTTGGATGGGAGGGGAAAATGACTTTTAGAAGCATTGCTGTGAATTATCTGATTACTTCATGGTGCTTGAGAAACACAAATAGGGGATTTTAGTTATTTTGAAATTCCGTTGGTTGCTGAATTTTGTTTGTATGTTTGTTTACAGCAGAGATTCCACAGATCCCTGGTGATCCCTGAGAGTCTTTCAGGGGGTTCTGTGAGATAAGATTATTTTTGTAACAATATAAAGACATTACTTGACTTTTTCACCATGATGAAATTTCTACTGATGTGCAAAAGCAATAGTGGGTAAAACCTCTGGCAACTTAGCAAGAATCAAAGCAGTGGTACCAAGCCAGGTGTACTAGTCTAAGTCTGCTGTTCTTCACAACCATGCACTTGCATCATAAAAATAAAATTAAAATGTCATTTTCGAGCAACAAGCTGAGCTACTGTGACAGAGGGAAACAAAATGGCGGCGCCGAAAGGGAGCCTCTGGGTCAGGGCCCAGCTGGGGCTCCTGCCGCTGCTGCTGCTGACCATGGCCCTGGCCGGAGGCTCGGGGACCGCTTCGGCTGAAGCGTTTGACTCGATCTTGGGTGATACGGCATCTTGTCACCGGGCCTGTCAGTTGACCTTCCCCTTGCATACCTACCCCAAGGTGCCCGCCAATTTGTACACAGTGGATCACACAGAAGAGGAGTTGTACGCATGTCAGAGAGGTTGCAGGCTGTTTTCAATTTGTCAATTTGTGGATGATGGAATTGATTTAAATCGGACCAAAATGGAATGTGAATCTGCATGTACAGAAGCATATTCCCAATCTGATGAGCAATATGCTTGCCATCTTGGTTGCCAGAATCAGCTGCCATTTGCTGAACTGAGAAAAGAACAACTCATGTCCCTGATGCCAAAAATGCATCTACTCTTCCCTCTAACTCTGGTAAGGTCATTCTGGAGTGACATGATGGACTCTGCTCAGAGCTTCATAACCTCTTCATGGACTTTTTATCTTCAAGCTGATGATGGAAAAATAGTTATATTCCAGTCTAAGCCAGAAATCCAGTATGCACCACAGTTGGAGCAGGAGCCTACAAATTGGAAAGAAATCGTCACTAAGCAAAATGTCCTATCTGCAAATGAGAAGTTCACAAACACATAGGAACTATCTTGAAGATGGAGAAAGTGATGGCTTTTTAAGATGTCTGTCTCTTAACTCTGGGTGGATTTTAACCACGACCCTTGTCCTCTCGGTGATGGTATTGCTCTGGATCTGTTGTGCGACCGTCGCTACGGCTATGGAGCAGTATGTTCCCTCTGAGAAGCTGAGTATCTATGGTGACTTGGAATTTGTGAATGAACAAAAGCTAAACAGATACCCATCTTCTTCTCTTGTGGTTGTTAGATCTAAAGCTGAAGACCATGAAGAAGCAGGGCCTCTACCTACAAAAATGAATCTTGCTCATTCAGAAATTTAAGCTTTTTTTCTTTTTTAAAGGAAGGGTAATAGACATCTAAATTTTCATTCCTCATAGAGCTTCTAAAGATGGTTTCATTGGATAGGACTTAAAAATCACTATAAAATGCAAATAAAGTTACCCAAATCTGTGAAGACTGTATTTGCTGTAACTTTATCTGTAATTTCTTTTCTAATAATTTAAGAGATGGATGTTTGGGATTGCATTTTTATTTTACTAATACCTATAGCTATTTTATTATTTACATTGTTTTTGTTTGTTTTCTTTCTTAGCCACATTCTGTGAGCTGATCATTGCTCTTCCCCACCTCCTGCCATAATACTGTCTGTCTGTCACCTTAGTTAATAAACTGAATACTCCATAGGATTTGATGCTTTTGCTCAGAAAGGCCCACAACCTGTATTTTGAGATTTAGCAGGAAATGCCCTTTAATGACACTACACTTTCAGTTGTATTGACTGAAATCATTAAAATTTTATTTGAATAATAAAAAAAAAAAATTAAAATGTCATTTTCATTTAATAATATCCTAGATGAAGTAGTGAAAATTATTATTTTATTAAGTCTTAATTCTTGAATATACATCATTTTAATATTCTCCATGACAATACAAAAAGTACATATATAAAGTGCTTCTGCTGCATACCAAAGTATGATGCTGTCTTGAGGAAAGGCACTTCTGTCAATGAGTTGTGAGCAACTAGTCAGTGTTTTTCACAGAACACTATCTTTACCTGAAAGTACAACTAACAGACAAACTATCATTATTCAGACCCAAGTCTGAATAATGATCTGATCTTTAAAATGAATAAGATGAACCTGTCACTTCAAGGAAAATAATTTACCTGTATGTTGCCAATGATAAAACCCAAGGTTTCAAATAAAAATTAACATTTTGGAAAACTTGTACCTATGCTATGAGCTTGAAAGCTACCCAATATTCAAAGACTTTCCTAATGAGATTGTTGGTGTTGTTATGTATGTGATGTTTTTGTATTTGATAATGAGACGTGTCAACATTTGAAAGATCTGCATAACTCAGTGAACCAATATTTTCCAAATGATCAATACATGATGTTATAAAATCGTGCATGGGCTAAAGATCCCATTGAAATGCAAGACAGACCAGTGGATTTTAACTATTGATATAGTTGCCAATGCCACCTTGCAACTCATCTTAAGTACTTATCACTTGTTGAGTTTTGGTGTGGTATCAAAGAAGAATATCCACAACCATCTGAAAAGGCTACTAAAATATTTCTTCCTTTTCAACTATATATCTGTATGAGGCTGGATTTTCTTTGTATATTTTAACCAAAGCAACACACTGCAATGGTGAATGGAGAATCCAGATGTCTTATTAAACCAGACATTAAAGAGATGTGCAAAATGTGAAACAATGCCATTATACTCACTAATTTTAACTGTATTTTAATACAGCTATTTTAATTAAAATATGTATTTATAGTAACATGCCATAGGTTTATCATTTTTATTTTAAATAAGTTCATAATCATTTTTGATCATTATTGTTTATATTATTATTTGATACACATTTGCCTCAAAAAGAGGCAAAAAGGAAGGCAAGGACAACCATAAGTATAAGTGGTTGACATTTGTCTTAATGGTATAGGAGTGCTCTCTTCTCCTCTCTCAATTACTTGATAATTGATACTGAGCGTGAGATGACAGGTTATCTTTCTCAGGGGTATTTTATAAGTTAAGAGGAGATTCTTTTTTTTTTTTTCTTGAAGGAGGAGATTCTTAATGATAAAAAACTATATTTTTTCAAATAATTTTTAAAAATTTAAGTGTAGGTGACACAATATTACATTATTTTCAGGTGTACAACATAGTGATTCAACTGCTCTCTACATTATGCTATGCCCACCACAAGTGTAGCTGCCATCTGTCACCATGCAATGCTATTTCAATATCATTGACTATATTCCCTATGCTTGTGTCTTTTATTCCTGTGACTTACTCATTCCATACCTAGAAGCCTACATCTCCCCCTCCCCTTCACCCATTTTGCCCAGCTCCCACCCCTTAAAAATGTCTCTGTTTTATTTTTGAACAGGATAAATAAGAGTAGATATAACTCACATAGACAAAAGATTCCTGGGGTCCTTCAATAAGTTTTTAGTGTAAAGGAGCCTCGAGACTAAAAAGCTTGAGAATCATTGTCTTACAGCAACACCACTCTAAGACTAAGCCAAATAGACTATGGCATTACATATCTTACCTAAAATATTGAAGTACATTTGTGTATAAGTTCTTCCCTTGTGTTAATGTGTGTTTCACAGACTTATTGGTATAAAAAAGAACCTAGGATACTTCAAAACTTACTACTGATTTCTTTTTTAAAAAAATACATTGGGTCAGGGACGCCTGGGTGGCTTAGTTGGTTAAGCATCTGCCTTTGGCTCAGGTCATGATCCCAGAGTCCTGGGATCGAGCCCTGCATCAGGCTCTTTGCTCATCAGGAAGCCTGCTTCTCACTCTCCCACTCCCCTCCCCCTGCTTGTGCTCCCTCTCTCTCTGACAAATAAATAAATAAAATCTTTAAAAAAATGCTTGGGTCATGTCATATATACAAATTAATTTAGGAATTATGAACAGTAAGGCAGAGTGGGAAAGTATCTGACTTTAAAGCCAAATATAAACTTAAATCCTAGTTCAGCCACTGCTTTACTGTATTATCTTATACTTTTATACTCATGTTTAAATATACTTTTATTTAATCTCTTAGTTTTAATTTCCTTATTAAAAAATAAAGTTAATAATACAGACATTTCTTTATTTTAAAATAAAGATAACAACAGACCTCTGTGACTTGGAAGAAGAATTATGTTTAGATATTACTTAAAATATAGGCTAAAGTTCTGTAAGAATGAGACCAAAAATTACAGCAGTTCAAACAAGATAGTTTTTTCTATCTCTGCTAAAAGTCTAGTCAGTCCAGAATAACCAGATATTTCTGCACACAGAGAGCCAGAAGCCCAGGTACTTTTCATTGTGTTGCTTTTCCATTAGCTGGGTTCTTGTTGAATATGCATGGCCTAGCTAGTTTATGGACACATCTGCATTCCATTCAGTAGAAAAAGGGGGAGAGAGAGGTAATCTAGGATAAGAAATTTTTATTCAAGTGATACAGAAGTTACACATGTCATTCTGCCCACAGTTCTTTTGAAAAGAACGTAGTCACATGGCTACCTACCTGTAGGGTGGGCTGAGAAATAGTCTCAAGGTGGGAAACCATGTGCTTGTCTGAAAATCCATTACCACCGAAGAAGGAGAGACTACATTGAGAAACATCTATCAGTCTGCCATAGCTAATGTATGTTAAATACCTTGTATAGTACCTACTAATTCATAGGTGCTCAGCAACTGGTATCTATTTTTATTTTAATACTATACACAAGTATATGCTTTGTCAAATAAGTTAAAAGGCTAACAGAATGGTCTTCCGAGAGAGCTTTTCAGCAAAGCCAGATTTTTAAGTGGAAGAATGTTTGGTACAAATATGCTTTTCTTGGTTTAATATGAAGGCTCCTAGATTCAGGTTGCACTTCTTCCACATTGCTGCAATGTCAGAAATTTTTACCATTAGGGTCTAATTTCTTTGAATACACTGGGAGTGAATAACACATTGTTATTATGAGGTATTACTATCTGAGGATAAATTTATTAATTTCTTATCTCCTGTTGCACTCCTCTGTCTCTTTTGCTGTATTATAAAAATCTAGAAGAATTGATATGGAGAAGCAAAAATTTCCTAGTTGGGTACGAGAAGAGAGGAAACTAAGCAAGGAAAGCCAAAAACCTTCATTATAAAATCAGGGCAGATACCTGTCGGGATAAATGAGGGGCATAATTGATGAGTTTTAGTAGGAAAGGGAGCGAGTGTGGTTCTGACTCAGGGCCCAGCCCCGAGAGGGTATGTCTTTGTGAAAATGTAAGAGCATTAGGTGCTCCTGAGGGGAAGAAGGCAACAAAAAGGGGCACAAGAAGTGCTGATATCAAAGCAGCTATTTCACAATTTTTCCCAAGGCCAACCATACTTCAGAGACATGGCTGCAGCTTCATTTAGGTAGAGACAAATAAGGTATATGAAAACTCTCAGGGCTTCAAGCTTTTAAAAAGTTCGGTGCAATTTCTGGGCTTTTCAGTTATTTAATCAAGACAAGCAAGAGGGTTATAAATGCAACAACTTTGTGATTGAGATTAATGTGCTCAGAAGTTAACTCTTGTCTTCACAGGCAACTGAGAAGTGAACACTAGACATTAAACAGTCTCTAAATTAAATCTGCCTGATTGGTGGCCTAGAACAAAACATGGCTCCTGGAATTTAGCCTTTTCATGGTTGGCATCAGAGCTGGATTAAATAGTGGCCAGTTAGGACATTACCAACAGTTGCAATCTGTAAAGAGTGATGGAGCGTCACTAATAATGTAACAAAATGGGTAAACATGATGTGTTTTTTAACCAGAATTCCTTTTAGAATTTACTAGAAGAAATAGTTTGAGTGTGTTATATAGGGTTGATGTTAAACCAGCCAAAGAGTTTGCTTAGAACTCTTTCTGTCTTCATTTAAGCCTACACCTCAAAAGCTGAGAATAACATAATAGGTTATAGGTGTCCAGTTGTGCTTACATTTCAAAATGAAGTGCTAAGCCAGCATGCAAAGAAGGTTGATCAATTTTGCAGGCTCAGGCAAACATCTGAGGATATAAACAGGTTTGAGTTGAAGATGTTGGACAAGAGGGAATTTTTTGGAGGAAGTTGTTGGAGTATTATGGCTATCCCATCAGTGGCAGTGTTGGTAGTGGTAGGGTGTGCTTGTATCCACCTCGAGGAAGAGGAGCTTCAGGAAAACTACTTAGAAAATTTGACTTACATTCCTGAGGTTTGTAGCGAACAGACTGGAAGAGTATAAAAATAAGAGATTATAGATGGTTTGCTGCTGTCAAGTGGTTAAACATTCTCTAAGCAGCAGCAGGTGGGTAAGAGTCACAGGGTCATTATGGAAACTGCTAGGTAGGCTTGCTACACTTCCAGAGATTTGACTGGCAATGTGACAGTGAGCCCAGATGGATTCAGGTAGATTTTTACTACATGGCAAAAGCAAGGTCACCATG